CTCGCGTAAAATCGTCGAAGAGAAAATTCAGAGGTTCCCAGGGCGCGCTGTCACCGAGGAAATAGCTCTTCCCTTACCCGCGTCGCCGGTAATTACTTATCTTTAATTCGCGTATCACGCCGCGCCTGACCGCCGCCCGCTTGGAGAAAGCGAGAAAGACCGATCGTGGAAAAACCTGCATGGCATTTATCGTGGAACGTGCGCTCGCATTCTGGAGTAAGTAGATAATTCCCGCATAATTCCGCAGCCGGGAGGATGAGAATGCCGTGGCGACGTTTCGTTATGTGAAAATTACGCGAGCATGGGCACGATAATTGTCACTAATACGCCCCTCACATAGGAAACGGCCGCCTCTTATTTATAGGAGCCGATTTTGCTCGGCGATGACCCAACGCAACGCGCCGATTTCTCCGCGAGGAATTACATACGCTGCAACGAATGGCTGCAATTGAAGAAGATGTAGAACCGTGTAGATTCTGCGATTGTTTCCAGTGGAACGTCGATTATCCGAAACAATGGAGAAACGCACTCGTTGCGATCCGCGATTTTTCGAATTATTCGTTCGGGGACGAGGAAGATTTGTGGAAACAATGTGAAATCAACGGGAAAGTAATTTGCGTATATGAATAATCAATTCTCCATGTATACATAGAATAACTTTCTATGTATTTTGTACTTCGTACTATGTACTATCTCATACACTTATCTTATCGTAATTATTTAATATTTAATACTATAATATGACAACAGGAACGGTTAAATATTTTTTGAATATTTTTCTATTGAATTTTATTTATATTCTATTCTATTCTATTCTATTATATATATAATAGAATATATTTTTAAATTATATATATAATATATTTATATTATAATAGAATAGAATAGAATAGAATATATATAATATATATATTATCTATTCTATTCTATTATATCTTTATATTCTATTCTATTCTTTATATTCTATTTTCATTTTTTTTTATCAAGTCTGCTTTTGTGTACAAATTTTAATCATTTCCAGGGCTTTTATCAAATTAATTTGCAGTATTTACACTTTTAGAAAGATTTAAACGTTACGATTTTACAGAAAAACGCAAATTTTATTACGAGAACAAAATTTCTTACGTAATTTCGAAGATTTTGGTTCTCTTGTGAGAAGTATTACTGATAGAGAACATTCACTATGAATTCCATTAAAACGAATAGCTGCAGCTAAGTTTTTTTTTATAATGGACGTGCCTTTCGTACGAGGAACTTTAAGAATAGTATGGAGGAATTAGAGACCACATTCTGCAAGTAGAAATCAAGACATGCCATAAGAAAGTTCAAATGTTACAACAGAGTACAAATATCAAATGATTTTTATTTATTAATGCTGACATATTGACATTTACTTCTACTTATTTTCTTCAGCATACTCGAATAAAGACGATTTATAACTCTTAGTATTTCGAATAATTACTAGACAATATTGTTATTACTTGTAATTTCTACCACGTCCATAATTAAATGTATCAACAAAGGTACCATCGGTTTTGAACAATTTAATCTTGAATTTATGACAAATTTAATGTTCATATTACTTCAATAATATCAGTTTCGGATTGCAACTGTCTCCATTAATTTGTAAAAGAAAAAGTACTTTAAATATGACATAATAATGCTCACAATATATATATTTAAAAAATTGATTTTTGGGAATATTTTCCAGAAAGAACAATAAAACTTCCTTAACAAAATATTTTGTCTTGCAATTTGTTAACTAACTCTTAACTTTGCAGTTAGCAAGGGAAAGCTCTCAGAAATAAATTTTATCAAGCTCCCGGACGAAGTATTGATTTTACTCGCGCATGTTAGCGCACGATATTGATGAAGATATGCGACTCATTCGCAGACTCGCATTCCTACCTGCGCGTCCATAAAGATTTAGACATTCGACCGCAACGGAAAAATTCCTAATGCACGTTCAAGCAGTCCGGGAGAGCAACAAAGTAACCATAAAGGCGCATCCAATTATAAACCACTAAACAAACAGCGTGAAGCCGCCTGGGGAGGGCTGCGGTCGAAAAATCGCAGTCGGCTCCGAGTGACTTGCTCCTTTTTCTTTTCCCGTTCAATCTTCCATGGCGTACCGCAGCCGTGCGTGATCCGCATGCACATATGCGTGCGGAATAGATCTAGCCGTGCGTGTACGCGCGCGGTCAAGTGCAACGCACGTAAAGATAAGGGCGGCTATGGATCATAGAGGCCGACTGCTTCCTAAGGGGGAGAGAACGGGCCCGGGCCCTCTAAGGCCCTCTAAGAAGGGCGGAGATCTTCGGGCCAGATTGGTATCGGGACCACACTTGAGACGTAAGATTGCTTGGGACGTGTCTAAGAGCGAAAACAGCCGAAACACGTGACATTCGGTTGCAAATGTCCGCGGCAGTGAATTTCTTTTTTCAATTAATTATTTGCATCTGTTTGATAGGAATCGAAGACCGCTTGTGGGATTACAATCTGTAGAGTTACACGTGGGTGTAATATAGGGTAAGTGTGGGTATTACTGCGGACGCCGCAAATACTGTGGTATTTTGTAAAAGTAATAAAGTAATTTTTACATATAATTATAAAGTAATTTTATAGTGTGTAATCTTCTTAAAATGAATCCAATAATTTTTTATACGTTTAATATTCATAATTTATGACATTCAAGTAACAGCAATCGCAGTTTTAATTTACTTATTGACTTTTGATATACGGAACATGACTTCGCGAAAATTTCAATTACAAAAATCGATCCAGCGCAATTTAAAAAAAAAATCTTTCAATATTTATATTATCGACAAAATTTATCCTGTCCATATTAATGAAGTATGTCATAATTGCACCATAGAAAAAGTATATCATAATTACACTATTATCGCGTA